TATCTTTTATGTTAAAAATATCAATAAAAAGCAGTACTTGGTTGTAGCGATCCCCATGGGTTGCACCACTATCCTGTGACCTGTCGTGAACAATCCTGTGATTTCGTTTCTAGATCACATCTCTCAATCACAAGTACTTCAGAAACCACCTGGAAGACAGCCTGTCTCTTGGAAGGCCCTTGCTTATTGAAGATGTTGGAGAGGAACTAGATCCAGCCCTGGACAATGTTTTGGAAAGAAACTTCATTAAAACTGGGTCTACCTTCAAGGTAGAGTAAAGTAGTTGCTAACAGTATGTTCTAATCTCCTGTCCTCCTGACACATTCTCTAGTAATTTTCCCTTTTACTGTTTCCCCTTCCTTTCTTTTTCTCTTCTACACCAGCAGGCTGAAGCATTGCATATGTTCATTGATCTTACATTACTTTTAGAATATGAATTAATTTTAATTAATTGGTTGCTTAAACAAATCATTTGTAGTAACACTTGATCCCGTAATATATGGCATGGTAAGTTTTATCTCTGCTTTTATTATCTTTTTATAAAAAGGTTAAAGTAGGCGACAAGGAAGTAGATGTAATGAATGGCTTCAAACTCTATATCACCACCAAGCTCCCGAACCCTGCCTACACCCCTGAAATCAGCGCTCGCACCTCCATTATCGACTTCACTGTCACCATGAAAGGTCTAGAAGACCAGTTACTAGGGAGAGTTATTCTCACAGAGAAACAGGTGAGTGGAGAATGGTCAGTTCCCTCTGTACTGCGTTCAGGTTGACTTTCTTTGCTTTCTTTTTCGATAAGAATATTGATAACTCATTTGCCAAGTCAGTATTTTTCAGGTATGCACTTCCAGAACATCAATTACATCAGATATTTTGTGTGACCATTGCCAATACCCTTTCCAAGAGTTTTCATCCCCATAACAGAAACGCAAAGCTTTGTAAGCTATACAGTCCACCGTTTGGGTTTTTATTGAGAGAAATAGTATAACATTTGTAATAGAATTGAGTTTTCACCTGTTTATTCCATATACTGTTGTTGTTATGTGCCGTTGAGTTGCCTGTGACTCACAGCAACCCTATGTACAACAGCCCTAAACTCTGCTCTATCCTGTGCCTATCTTATTGTCACATACACCTCTACTCTCCATTACTCCAGTCATCGAGTCAATCCATCTCATCAAGGGTCTTCCTCTCTTGTCCTGTCTCTCCACCCTTCCAAGCATGACGTGCCTCTCCAAGGACTGGCTCCTCCTTGCAACATGTCCAAAGTATGTCAGACGAAGCTTCAGAATCCTTGCCTTCAAGGAGCAGCCAGGTCTCTCTCTAATATGAACCTCCTTGTTCTCCTAGCAGTTCTTGGTATATTCAATATATCATCTACAGCATTGTCTTCAATTAAAAGTCCTCAGGTATTTTCTCTTGCTGTTAGATATTTATTCAGTTCTACTCATGGCACATCTGTGCTGTAGAAGGAAATGCTCTCTAGTCCTACACAATCTGTTACTGCTGTGATTGAGTCCACTGTTGTATCCACTGTGTCAGCCCATGTCATTGAAGGTCTTCCTCTTATTGCTTGACTCTCTACTTTGCCAAGAATGATGTCTTTTGCCAGAAAACAGTATTTCCTTTCTTAGGAAAAAAAAGAATATTTTCATTTTAGATAATGAAAATATTATTAACCAATTACAAATCTACAGGTTTGTCATATATATCTTATACATGACAAAAATCACCATTTGCTTTTATATAGTTGAGGTAACAATGAGAATATCAGTCTCATTTTTGTATTATTATGGTGCTTTCATATTGCTATATTTTTCTGAGGAGTAGATTCTGTTCAACTGTTGACTTAGAGCCTTCTGTTTCACATCTATGTTTTGCTTTCATTTGATTGAACCTCTTAGGATATAAAATGAAATCTTTGGTCTCGTATAGGAAAAGGCATTATACAGTCTGATTGGTTTTCTGAGAGACCTGTGTGTGTTATGAAGGGGTTTGATGTGAGGATATCAAAGTTTATGACATTAGATGTTCACTGTGAACTTTCTGGAGGTGCCTGGCTTAATTATGCTAAATTATATGTGTTCGAGAAGCTGAACTCCCTTATTGTTTTCTCTGTCTCTATTTTATGGGAGAACTTGATGAGAAATAACTAGAACTTTATGAACTTTCTTCTTCTGAGTCAGCGTTTCCCCTAGGGAACCTGTAAGTCTTAGGCAAAGAAATCTGGAGGATTTTAATGGGATTGCTTTTGTGAAACAGCACGGACTCTTCAGGTTGCTATTGATTTTCTCCTGGGTTCAGAAGTGATGAAGAGTTTAGTTTAGTTTCCGTCTACTTCTTCACTGACCTAAAGATTTATTTAGGTTAAAACTATTGGGAATATCTTTAGGATCGTTCTCTCTTATTATTTTAACCTTTTTTATATATTGCTTTGTCTTTGTTTCTCTGAGCACTTCCACATGTCCATATCTCATCTCCTTGTCTTTCCTGTTCCTCTCTCTCTTTCACTCCTTTTTTTATTAGTCTTCTCTCATCAATTTTAATCCGTAGTACATGGATGGTAGTATCATAAAGTTGGAAGTTAATTTAAGAGCATTTAATCCAACTTCCATAAATACACACAATTTATTGACCTAGTATGACAGGAACCGATGCCAGATTTCCCACCACAGACAAATAAATTAGAGATGGAAACTTCTTGAAAAATATGTACTTATCTTTGATTCTGGAGCTCACGCCATAAAGGTTAGCTTCTTGAAGAAATTTACCAGTTGCTGTCATGTTGATGCCAACTCATGGTGACCTCAGCTGTATCAGACTAGGGGGCTACTCTACTGGGCTATTTCAGTGGCTGGTCTTTCAGAAGTAGATGGACAGGTCTTCCAAGAAGGTTCTGGATAGGCTTGAATCTCCAACCATTTCGTTATCTGCTGAAAATATTCATAGTGTGTCCCACTCGGTGACTCCTTGAAGAAGTCAAGCATATCATGCTTACTCAGCATGGCTATATTTTGACTTTGAAGTCTTTGAGTATGCAAATGGTTAAGCACCCAACCAGCTCACTTCCACAATAACACTGTGCATCTTTGATGGTTCTTACAAACTCTACAGTCACATTGCCTGCCAGTGTCCTGGGAGCGCGGTATGTCTTATATGTGCATGCATGTTATTAACATGGCACATTGGATGAGAAATTATATTACTAACTGAAAGCTTGATGGTGATCTGCTTCCGAGAGTCCACAGCCTTGAAAAACCCATGGCCTATGGCATACAGCCCTGCTCTGAAACTTATGGGGTCTCTATGAGACAGAACTGACTGAACAGCTCATCCAGTCCTATATCAAATTGCTTGCCTGACTTTGTGGAAAGTTGCCATTTATAAGAGTAGATACTATTTCAACTGTGGTTATTATGTGCTGTCGAGTTGGAAAAGACCCATAGCTGACCCTCCAGAAGGTTTTTGAAGGTGGGGGGATTGTTTATCTTTCTCTCGTGGAGCAGCTGGTGGACGCAAACTACCTACCTTTGGGTTGGCAGTGCAACTTCTTACAACAACATCACCCAAGTCCTATTCCACCTAGCAAGTTTAAAATAAACATTCAGAACAGCAGTAGAGAGATTTTAAACTGAAACGGAAGTAAATCTTACTTGATCAGAGACAAATACATCTGTCTCCAAAAGTCTTTCACCTTCACACAATAAGCTTAAGCATGATCACAAAAATGACTTGAAAATGGTTTTACTTTAGAAAGCAACATATGTGATGGGGATATTGCTACTATTTTCAGAAAATTTTACTTTGCCACACGTTCTTTTTTCCTTTGCTTCCTTTTTTGATGTCCATATTTTTTGGAGGCGAGGTGTAAAATATGATAAATTTGTTTACTAGGAGTTTGCAAGCAGCTGTAGAGGTTAACTTCTTTAAGGGATGTCCAAATAATAGTTTTTCATTAAGGGAGAAAACATATTTGTGTGAACACACAGGAGTTGGAGAAAGAAAGGACTCATCTTATGGAAGATGTTACTTCAAACAAAAGAAAGATGAAGGAACTGGAAGATAATTTGCTTTACCGTCTGACAAGTACTCAGGGGTCACTGGTGGAAGACGAGAGCCTGATTATTGTGCTGAGCAACACGAAAAAGACAGCAGAGGAGGTGACACAGAAGCTGGAGATTTCTGCCGAGACAGAAATTCAAATTAACTCGGCCCGCGAGGAATACAGACCTGGTGAGTTTGGTAATGAAAGACAAATGTCACAGGAAAATGAATTGAGAAAGGGAAATGAGCATTAGAGAAAACAGAGGGAGGAAGTTGGACAAATATCTCTGCAAAGTGAGGGTTGTTTACGTTTTGTGGCCTCTCTCCTGGTGAAAGTGAGTTGAAAAGTTTTTATAATGGTTTATTGTTGGGAGCTATTAAGTTGATTCTGACTCATCATATCCCCACATGATGGAGTTGAACCACCCCATGGAGTTCCATAGGCTGTAATGTTTATGTGAGCAGATTGCTGAATCAATCTTTCTTCTGTTGATCCAATGGTGTGTTTGAACCACTGACCTTTAGGTAAGCAGATGAATGTTTGACTGTTGAATCACCTGTGCTCCTAGAATGATCTAAAGATTTTTGTTGTTGTTATGTGCTGGGCATATCCTTGAAGAAGGACATCGTGTTTGGAGGGTGGACGGACAGTGCAAGAGAGGAAGACCCTCGATGAGATGGATCGATTCAGTGACTGGGGTAATGGGAATAGGTGTGTCAGAGAACATGAGGTTGGCACAGGATAGAGCAGGGTTTAGGGCTCTTGTACATAGGGTCCCTATGAGTCACAAGTGACTAAACAGTACATAACAATAACAGCAATGTGCTGTCAAGTCAACAATGGCTCATAGCGACCCTATGAACAATAGCTCTATCTTGAGCAAGTCTCACCATCTCTGATGTATCTGTCCCCATTGCTACAGTAACTGTGTCAATTAATCTCATTCAGGGTCTTCCTCTCCTGTGCTATCTTTCCACCCCTCCAGACTTGATGTCCTTCTTCAGGGACTTGTCCATACTGAGGACATGCCCAAAGTATGTTGTTTGATGTTGTGGTATGCTGTTGAGTTGGAACTGACTCATAGCTGACCCTCCAGTGGGTTTTCAGAGGCATTTAATCTCACAGGAGGAAACTGTCCATCCTTCTCCCATGGAGCAGCTGGTGGCCATGAACCACGTGTCTTCAGATTGCAGCACAACTTCTGGCCACTGTTTCTGATGTTGTTAAGTGCCATTAAGTTGTAGGTGACTCATAGAGACCTGATGAGCGAAAGACCTGAACACTTGTAATCATTTCTCCAGGTTCGTAAGGTTTCCAGAGACAAGCTATTTCAGAAGTGGATGTCATTCTTGCTTCCAGGCTTGTTTTAATTGGGGAGTTCCACCAAACACTGTCCACCGTGGGTAACCATTATCCCATATGACACATTAGTGTCACAGTGTCCAGCTTCACAGTAACCACGAGTTACCTCTGAACAGCAAGTGAACAAACCAGGGCTATACAACCTAGAAGAATGTTTGACCTGAAACAATTAAAAACAGGCCTGAGGGTTGCGGATTAAAGTCACCCACCTTTGGCTTGGTAGCATCACTTTCTGTCCACTAGGCCATTTGATCTCTCTCTATGCTGTTGTTGTTGTTGTTAAGTACCGTTGAGTTGTAGGTAACTCAGCGACCCTGAACAAAAGACACTTGTATAACTTTCATCTTTTCTCCAGGTTTATAGGGTTTCTGGAGGAAAGATATTTTTCCATTCTTTCTCCAGGTTCACAGGGTTTCCAGAGGCAACTTCTTGCCACTAGGAGTTTCAAAATCCTTGCCTCCAAGGACCAACTGGCTTCATCGTTTCCAGTACTGATCTGTTTGTTTTCTTGGCAGTTCATGATATTTTGAGTACTCTTCTCCAGCAACACAACTCAAAGACATTTTTCTGTCATGCTTACTCATGTTACAACGATATATATAAAAAAAATCAGTGTTAGGGTTGTAAATAATGTTACGACCATTTAAAAATTAGAGTAGGGGAGCTCTGAGTTGCATTACTAATACAAAGTCAGGCAGACAGAATATAACAGTACTCTATGGGAGAAAGATGGTCACTTTACTCTCATGTGACTTATGGTCTCTGAAAACCCACTGAGAGTCAACTATGATTCAGTTCCAATTCCATGGCAGGTGAGTGAGTTCATGTTACTGTTCTAAAAGGACCAAATGCAGAACTGAATTTCAAATTCCCATAGACTCCAGACATCCTAAAGACTTAAAGTCTTATTGAACCCCTGAAATACTTGCCTGAGCTAGTCTTTGGTCTTAAACCAAAAATACACCGTACATTTTTTAAAACTTAGCAGTGTTGTTGTTGTTAGATGCTGTCAAGTCAACTACAACTTATAGCGACCCTATGAACAATTATACAGTAGTTTAGCTTAACTTGCAAGTATGTTTGCTTTGAGCATTGAATTTTCATAAAAACTATCTAGCCATTATATTTCTATTCTTCCCCTGGTGCCTCCACCCCACTCCTCAATTACCCGCCTCTTATCACAATAGCTTGTCTTATGCAGTATTTGCATTTTGTGACTTATTAAACTCAACACAATGGTCTTTAGACTTTCACATTTTGTGTTTTATGACTACTTTGTTGGTGTTTAGTGCTGTATACTATTCCATTGTGTGAATATTGCCACAGTTTTATTGATTCACTCATTTGTTGATGGGCTTTTGGGTTGTTTCCATTTTCTTGCTGTTGTGAATAATGCTGCTCCAAACACAGCTGTACACATCTCTGTTTATGTTTAAGCTTTGATTTCCTTGGGGCACGTTCCTAGGATAAAATGGACCAAGGGAAGATCAACATGGGAAGATTTGAAATAAAACCAATATGGCTGTGGGAATTGGCAAATGAGAACAAGGTGTGTTTAGAGGGAAACGGGAGAAGGAAGAGGAAATCACCAGGATGGGGGGTGGTGTGTGTGTGAACAAATAGGTAAGGTGCAGGAAGGGCTGGTATTTGAGCACAAAGAACAGAAATGATTGTATCAAACCAAATGTACATGAATGAAACCAAATGTATGAAAGTGAATAATGGTCTAAATAATAAATGTGTGAATAAATTATGCATATAAATTAAGACATAGACATGTATTAAGTATAAATTTATCTATAAATTTACAAGTAATTTATAGATTTAAATGCCTAAATAAAAA